ATTCTGAAAAAACAAAACTTTTTTTACAATTTTGATTTTTTTATAATTGAGCACAGTAGTCACGAGAAAAATAATATAAAAAAAATAGCAAACTCGGCGAGTTTTTTTGTTGAAACATTTTATTCCAACATTTTCACCAATAATTCGCGTTCACGATTTATCTGCTAATATTACGGTTTGGTAGCCGGAATAATTCAAAGGCCGTCTTGAAAAACCAAGCGTAAGTGTTATGTCCGCGAAGAAGTTCTTGGAATTTACACAATGATATGGCATTCCATAGCACGGTTAATCGAATAACAAAATAAATTTGAAAAACTTCTTTCCTGAGATTGACCCCGGTACAACTCAATCTTGGTGTCTCCGAGTGAAGCTTTAACCGACAGTAATATTGGCAATTCACGTCCATTGGGACAATCGGAACACACGTGAGTTCGGACATACTCGATTTGACGATCTTTGGTAAAAACTCGACTCCAGCGCCACCTGTCGGATCAAACTGTGAATCTAACTATCTATTGACCCACTCAAAGACACAATAAAATGTCATTAAAAAAGGATCCACTCACAAACAAACGTATAGAAGAATTTTATATATGTACTTACATACAAAGATAGGTTATAGTTTCAGCAACTTTGGAAGGCGTCACGCCCCCTTTTCAATAGTCCCAATTTTCTCTAAGAGTATATTCGAATACTCTACCATGAGAACATGCAGAGATAAGAAGTGTAATAAATTCAGTTTGTATGGTAGGTGCCACGCCATTTGTTCCAATAGCCCCAATTTTTCTTCATGACTATGCGACTAATTTTATATATCTCTATACCAAGTTCCAGTACTCTACGATGAACACTTCCAGAGATATGCAGTATGAAAAATTTGGTTTGTGTGGCAGATGCCACGCCCCCCCCGAACTTATCGGTATGAAATATACATTACTACCTATTCTCATATATACCAAATATACAAAAAAAAAAATTCTTACAAATCGGTCAAGCCGTTTCGGGGGAGTTCGACCATGGCACGAGATTTGTACAAGCTTTTATTTAACTTCACTTGAATGTATGTGTGTATGTATGTATGTATGTATATATATGTCCTGCAATTTTGTAATCAATATTAGATGTAAAATCTTCTTTAATTTTTAATAATTTGGGTGTTAGTTAATATTGTTTTAAGGTATTTAGCCAATAGGCAAACTATAGACTTTCTCCTTAAAATTCAATTTATAATATTATAACCTAAGTCCATTTGCATATCTGGTTTAGTTGTTGTCGCATCTCCAAGTTAAGTTGCCTGACACGGGAGTCCACGGCATGGACCTGGCGTATATCGTCCCGCTCAGTTGCTAGTACAGCAGCTTCAGCTGGGAAACTTGAACGGATCTCCGCGAGCCTACCGGCAGGTATGTAGCGTGCCGTTACAGCATTTACCACCTTACCGAACCGAACGTTTGTCGGTAAGAGCGGCGAAGGCGTTGTCGGCAAATTCTTCCAAGCTTTGCCAATCAGATTTTTCAAAGTTAATGCAGGCACGGTGGTCCGCAGAAGCAAAGTGTTCGGGTTCATGAAGCGAGATGATTATAAATAGATAGGTGATCTGATGCAAGCGATAGTATAGGTCGTCGCAAGATGTTATTTATCAGGCTAGCGATCACTGTTCTTTGGTCAGGCGAGCTTATGTAACTACCCATAATACTGGTGGGGGTGTCGTCGTCCTTAGGGCAGAGTGTCGAATCTTTTGACGAACCAAAAATCTTGGTGTGCGTTAAAGTCATCTACTAAAATGTGGTTTTCACTACCGTGGATTTAAATACAATAGCGAGTGACATAAATATTATAGTATGCAGTAAAGCCGAATTCCATCCATACATATGTGTATGTATTAACCAAAGTTGTTTTTGCGCATTTACAATTGTATATAATATACAGAATTACTTATTATTTTCTGATATCTGCGCAGGTATATTTATAATGTTAATATCGATTAAATATAAATTTATGGCCTTATTGGTATTTGTTGATATTATTTATTTTTCTTTTTGTCTTACACAATGTAAACATGTATGCCACTTAAACCGTTAGATGACAATAACTACTGCCCCTCCTCGATGCCACCGAATCCACTAACAATTGGCTATCTTATTGCCATGGCATGACTTTATCAAAGCCTCCAATGCGACTCACATGCATCATATTATGTCGTATTCAGTCATATTCGCATTCCATGCAGTGCCACACAGTGAGTGCAACATTAAAGCGCAACATTAGTAAACAACAAACGCGTAAACAACGCATGCGTACGGAAATCTTATGTACAGAAAAGTATTTATTTAAGTAAGTACATAAATTTCTGTGTGTGTGTGTGTGTGTGCGCTTGAATGTAAGCCAATCCATCCATCCATCCATCCAGTATCTAACTATCAACGCACAGCTCAATCAATGGTTAACCTGCGTACAGGTGAAGCAAGCTGATCGTACAACAGCAATAAGCTAGAAATGGTTACAGCTGCTGTTGTTGAAATCACAGGGAGTTCTTAAATATGCCACGAACGTGCGCTTTTCTACGTATGTGTGTACACTAGGGTGGTGCAAAGTATGTAAAGCGGAATTAGGATTGTTCTTTATCAAAATAAATATACCCCTGTTTTTTTTTTATCAAAAACTATTTAGACGTCGCTATAAGCGCTCAAAGTTTTCCATGTATAATACTAAAAAAACAATAGTTAGTGTTGCAAAATGGTAAAAAAAAATTGGTATTTTTACTGGAAGTCTGCTGAAGAGAAGCATAGTTTTCCGATCGAAAAATATTTATTTTCAAGAATTCTATACAATTTCTGCAAAACGTTGTTTTTCCTGACATAAAATATATGGAATACTTTGATGCTTTGAGCGAACTCTAAATATTTTTTGATCTCGAAATAAAAAACTGGGGAAATATTTTTTTTTTTATAGAACAATCCTAGAGGTTGAGAGCATTAAAAATGGGACTTTAATTTTTTCATATGCATTTTGGGACCACCCTAATGTACCCAAATTCATATATATGTATATATATATATATATATGCGTGTGTTACGCTCATCGTCGCATTGCATTGCGTCGCATCACTTCACAACACATTCATACGCAAACCGCACTTTGCCTGGAATGCTTTTTGCCCATTTAAGTGCATACATTTACTAACAGTGCAGCGGCAACCGTATTTGTGGCAAGCCAAAAGACAACACAAAAAAGGTTACAATTCTAGGCAAGTGACATTTCTTCATTTCAGCGCAATGCCACTTCAGCTATGTACATACATACATACATACATACATATATACTGTCCACGGTGGCAAGTTGATGCAGCGCGGTGCGGTGCGGTGACCAGCAGATGAGACCATGCGCCGCATTTAGAATGCCGAAGTTGGCAGTTGCGTGCAATGACCGCTGGCTGCTGCTAATGCTATCGTTTGCTATATTTGGCCCGCCGTTTGCGGTTACCTCATTTTACCACACCGCTCGACATGATTTGCTGCGTGCCTCGGTCGTCTCAGTCACAACTGTACAACTGTCGCTGAAGCTACCATCAAACGGTGATCGTGGCCACCGTCAAACGGTGCATGCTGTTCAATTTGACTTCAATGTGGCTCAAGTGTGTACAGCTGTGAGTATGCCAGTATTTACTACCTTTTTATGATGGTTAGCACCCTATTGATAAGTATTTGGTATTTTTTCTGAATTTTTTGCAATCATATTTTTTGCCGTATTTTCAGTTTAATTTACAATCACATTTGTACATACTTACATACATATCAAACCTCTTGAAGGACGTTGTACTACTAAACACTGGATCCGAATAAACTCTCTGTAGGAATGGTTTTGTTCAGTAATACACCATACATACTATCGCCAACACCGATCCATTTAGATTCTCTTCCTGGAGAATAAGCGACTGTTAAACCTAAAATCGACCATCCAGCTATAATCGGGCCTGCCAACCTAGCTCAAACCTTGCCTTTTTTGGCCCCATTTTACTTCAAAAGGCACCTAATTTTTTTATTTTTCAGACAACGCACAGTGGGATTTAGGTGAAAAAAACAACAGTTTCCCAAACCTTTTTTTCTCGTAGACCCCTTTCAAAACCTTACTGGTTTCGGTGGACTCCCTGCTGCTACATTTCTAACATATTCCCAAAGCTCGTCCAAAACCAAATTCGGAGTGGCACAAATAAAGGTAAAATATTTTCTTGTGTTCTATCTATGAAAATAATGTGATTACACGCTTGGATGTTTTAAAAACCAGAGCTCGTAAATACATCAAAGTACTCCTCGCTCTGAAGAGTTATATCTTTAAGAGCACTCCGAGCGCTAGCATTATTTACATTCTCTTCACGATAAACTCCTCATATGCTCGGATCACTCATGAATTTGCATGTGGCATATTTGTAAAATAGTTTTTTATTTTTATCGCTCCGAGTTTTAAAGTGATGCGAAAAATATTTACCACACATTTTTTTTAGTATTTAGATATATTTAGATTTAGAGTATTAGATTTATAGTATAAAAATAAAAATTTTAAAATAAAAAGCTAAGGATGGTTTTTCCAACATTGGTGAAAATATAAATCAAAACGGGTATTAAGCTGTTTTAGCGGGTGCCTTAAAAAAAAAAGTACACACAAAATTGTCTCTCTATTTAGATAAGTGTTCAAACAAAACTGGCACACACTAAACCTTTTTTCGTTATACGCCCTAATGTATATTCACATAAAATACACACATACTTACTATTTTAATGCTACAAATATATTTATTTATTTATCATTTTTTGTGAATTTACCACTAATAATACTTGAAAACTACTAATTTAAAATTTTTTCTATACATTTGCAAATTAGTTGTTTGCAAAATTCAAACTAAAATTATCAGTATTTTGTACAATTCGATAAGTCTTTCGAATAATGGTTGCTGCTTTAAATTTTAATCATCTCAGTGAGGTAAATTTTAGCCCAATATCGTCTTTGTTGGCTCGCAGTGACACATTTAAAAATCTTTACTAAATAATTATTATTTATTTTAATCTCGAATACTTGCTCAATTCGTCAACAACATTTGTCACTTCTTCTCACGCTTCTTCTCTGGCAGTACAGTTGCTAGGGCCATTAGCGTTGTGATAATACCGACAATAGCCCAAAATACTATGTCGCAGAATTTTAACAAAAACAAGCCAATAAGATTTCCGCCTGCAACAGAACCTAAGCGACCAATCATCATGGCGAAGCACATGCCCATCGCATTGATCTCCGTCGGATAGAACTCAACCGAGAGTGTACTTATGATGCCGCTGCAATTACCAATGCTCATTAACAAAGTCAAGGCAATAACGACAGCTGCAAACTCGGAAAGCCAATGTGTAATGACAGCACAGACGCAGCAAATGACGAGCCATATTACTAGAAAAGATAATTAGAATTTTATAAATGTGTTTTAGTATTTGAGATCGAGCACAAAAATGGCTTTTTCGTTTCTACGAAAACGGGTGCCTTTTCATTGTGCTCTCCTTAGTTTTTGTTCAAAGAGGGCAATGAAAGGACATTTTATGTCGCATTTAGATACCAAAACACCATAACTTTCTTCCAAAAACTTACTTAATAAATTAACTTTGCCAACTATGTCGATGGTGTAAGCGAAAATGACGAAAACGAAAATAAAAACGCCACCAACCATCATCAGGACTTGAAACATAAAATTATCGATTGAACCACTACAATCATTTGCATTTGGCTCCGTTGCAATGGGTTCCATGCCGCCTATTATCTCACATACCTTGAGGCCTTGGCCGTTTTTAGCAATGAGTTCATTGAGTATTGTCGGAAACCTGAAATACAGAAGAAAGAGAGAGGGAGACAGATTAATATCGAACTGATCATAAAATTTATAAGATTTTTGGATGAATCTTGTAGAAAATTTTTCTCGCAAAGTGCCAAAGAAATAATTTTCCATTAAAGTGTGTATATCGTCGTTTAAAGTACAAAACCGCGTAACTGACATTTGCTGCCAAAAATAGGATTTGCTGACACAAGCTCTTGGCTTAATCCTTATCCATTCGTCCTGAAATATCCTATCCAGAAATGCGATTGCTTTATACAAAGGGGAACCGATTTTGAGTGTTTATCCACAACTTTTGATACATTGTGATTTTAAAGACATTCCAGTACAAAGTTTGCGCAGGAACACAATAATTTATAAATTAACATAATTTGAATATTTCTTTTATTGTGATAAAAAATTAATCGTTTTATCAATCATGAGATACATAAATGCAGAGTTTTTTGGGGAGTCAGTGCGCATTTCATTGAGGGCTTAAACCCTATTTTCTTAATTCTTGGTGTCTTCCACCTTGATCAAAAGCATACAACAAATTTAAATGGCCCCTAACTTTAATTTTGTATTGTTATTTAAATGCCTTTTGACTTTCGTTTGGTTTCCTTTCGTCTTCTTTATTGGCGTTGTAACTGCCTAAGCGATTTTAGCTGGGTCCGAAACGGCACCTCAGTCATTTCTCTTCTGTGCCAACTTACGCCAATTGGAAATGCCAAGTGGGGCCAAGTCCTTCTCCACCTAGTCTTTACAACGTAGAGGAGGCCTTCCTCTTCAGCCTTTCCTCTACAGCTCACCGTTAAATCTTCGCCTTGTAGCTTTATGGATCTTTGTTTGCTGGAACTTAGTCCTACATATTACCATGATAGCCTCAGACCGCTATCGGTCGTTTCGTCGTGGAAGCTGAAATTTCTGGCAGTGGCGCCAAAGATCCCTCCCTTGTCCACCTTGGCATTGAAATCGCCAAGCATGATTTTCACGCTCATAGAAAAAGTCCTTGGACGTTTCGTCCTTATCTTCCGTCAGGGAGATGTTGAAGAATCTAGCTTTGATGCGGAATGTGGGTAGACGTCGTCCACCAGGGTGAACTGGACTACTCGGCGACGGAGCCTCTTCTCACACAGATTCAACAACGGATTTGCGCTACTTTCCGTGGTAACTTTAGTTGACATCGCAAGACGCCATATATTTGTCTCTTTCTTGTCCATTACATTTCTTAGCTAGCCTTGATGGCAGCCTTAGTTTTCCCGATGACATCAACTGGCCTGATGGAGGCACATTCCCCATTAAGGGACCGGAACTTTCAGGAACATGTCGTGTCCTCATCCAAGACTCATTGAAGTTTTTCATTGCAACTGCTTTGGTATGGAACCAGCCACATAAGTCACAAACCCAATGCAGAGGCTGGTGCAATTTTCGAGATCCGATTCGTGTATATAGAGATCCACTTACTACAGAGAGCCATCCACTTTGCAGACGCAACGCATGGGGAACAAACGCTATAGATTTCAGTGAGCACTTCAATTGAGTACGCTGCTCTAAAGCCCCTCTGTTTCTGCCACGACCCGAGGCTTTACAAGGGTAGCAATGATTCTTCGCGTTGTCCAGGGTACACGAACGCGAACGGAATTGAGAATAGTAGAGAATTGTAATTTCCTTCCCAGATACCCTACTATAACCCATGTGTATTAGACTAAAGAAGTGAGTTTACCAAGCATATCTTCCTTGATAATGATATAGGATAGTTCATAAATGTTGCCTTTATGCGAATGTCGGAAGCTCAGCGAGGGATGTTAGACAAAACGGAATAGACAATTTAATAAAAAAAATCAATAACTGCAGTCCGAGCGCCATTTTAAATTTGTGGTATGCGTCTTGATGTTGTCACTCCAACGGAGAGACCCATAGCTCAATTCTGCCGCCGTACAGGATATGGCTTTTGTAAAAATATTGTTTATGGCAGAAATACACTCCGAATTTAAGCTATATATAAATATATATATATATATATATATATTATAAACTGATTAATATCAATTCACGAATTTCTGTTACCCAGTCACTTACCACATGAACAGTCCCTCAGATACTCCAAATGTCACAAACAAGGAGAAACATATATTAAACGTTTGTAAGCAACGTTTCCTATAAAACAGTGGCGCTGTTTGACTCCAAATCATTTTTAATGCATCACTGACACCATGAATGTTTTCCAAATCGGCACCACCAGTCTCTAAAAGAATACTTTTCACCGGAAAATTCTCTGGCTTGTCGCCGGTATTCTTTGAGTAAATGCTACGCAAGGTGTTTAAAGCTGCATCATGATTTCCATGCACCAACATATATTTCGGCGTCTCGGGCAGTGTACATAATCCAGCGAGTCCCAAGAAAGACAGCGTTGTATTAATGAGGAAGAAAAGTCGCCATGAGGAGAACGGCATGCCAAAAATTACACTATCGAATTGTAGGGGAAGAATGACAAGACCGACGGCTGAAAAATTTAACAAAATTTTAGCCAGAAACTTTCACTTTTTCACTTTCCCGCGCTCTCCACAACTCACCTGGCAAAATCACGAACGCCAGCGGTAGAAAAATCGTCAATAGCGCCACGTAGCGTACGCGCGTTTTATTGCTGTGAAATTCACCGACCAAACTAAAGACACACGCCTGACAGCCAGAGATGAAGAAACCGTTGAGGAAGCGAAATACGATTAACATCCACAAGTTGACGGAAAAGGCTGCTATAATTGTTGTAATGGCTGCCAATGTTAATGAATATCGCAATGTTCGCACGCGACCCGCTGTATCCGCCAGGAAGCCCACCATGTGTGAGCTGAGCATAATGCCGAAGAAGCCCGCCGATGCAAGTAGACCCTGTTCGGCTTCTGACGCTTCCAGATCACATTTTACAAAGGGAATTATCATGCCCATGCACAAAGTCTCAGTCATGACAGCCAAAAAGCATAAACCGCTTATAAGCATTAGCATGTAATGGAAGCGTCCGACACGCGCCAGTCCTAGGGCTTCGTCGAAACTGTGTGTGTACACCTGGGATGTAGCATGTTTTTGGTCAACTGAAATTAGAAATGAAAATAGTATAGAAAAATTCAGCATTATTATATATCTGGAACGATAGGCAGCACGAACGATTCATCTGGAATGCTTTAAAAATTAGTCCGGCGACTTAATTCTATCCGATTTAAGTGTAACCGAGACGAACTAAATAGAATCGACGTAAATCAAGCCGAAGACGAACGATAGACTAAACAAATTGCAATCCGAGACGATATCGACACTTAGTGGAACATCGATCTGTCTCCGCAGTCAGTTCGAAAACGCTCTATCTCAGAAAACTTTTCAATAACGTCCTATCTCCGAATTTGATTGAAGAATGCCCCATCTCCGCACATTTTCAATACATTTTCAGCTGAGATAGGGCATTTTTGAACCGAATTCTGAGATAGAGCGTTCTTCACCAAATTATGAGATAGGGTGTTTTTCAATAAAATTCTACAATAGGGCGATCTTGAAAAGTTTTCTGAGATAGGTCGATGACTTCTTTTCTTTTCTTTTTTGATGTATCATAATATTTCAAACTAACGGAATGCTATGTGAAAAATTTCGGTCTCGCTTCCTTTCTTTGCGAATAGGTCAGAGAAGATTTGTTTCCGTTTCGCTCTCTAACAGAAAGTTCCTGATACTTTACCTCCCAAATTTTTCTTCGAGAGAAAGTTCTTTAGACTTTTGTTCCCGTTTTGTTCTCTTAGAAATGTCCCCGAAAGTATTTTTCGATTTTTTTGTCCTTTTTGGGAACGTAAGATAAATTTTTAATATTTTTATTGATTACCACGATTGTTTATTAGGAAAAATTGAAAAAGCAACTAAGTCTAAGCGGTAGAAGTTATAGCACTATTTCGGAGATCACCACATCTCCTCATCAGACTTCTTTTTTCTAGACTTCAGCAGGGTAAGATAAATTACTTGCTAAATGTAGAAAAATACAGCTTGCAACAAATAGTGGATATTCAAAAAAAAAAGATCAGAGAAACCAAATCACTCCAAAATTGCTTTAAAATATTACTAAAGTCACGCGTATCCCAGCGTTTTGGATCTTTTTATTTAAGTTATAAAACTAACCAGTAACATTTTATTATAAGAGTAGACAGGTGTTATAAAAATGGATTTTGTGTTCTTAATTACTTATTTAATTTATTTAAATAAATGTCTCTTTTATAGATAATTAAACAATATCAGTTTTTTTCACAATGAGTAGCAACTACCCCAAGTGCTATAAAGTAGTAGATAAAAAGTTTTTATGACCCAAGCAACTAACCTGTAGGAAATAGGAGCGCGTAATAATGCTTTAACAAGAACTTACACTTCACACGGCCGTCCATACCACTTACCTTCCGAATCACCATTACTTTAACAAAAGCGTGGCCTCTAAATGGAAGTAGAAATTTGGAATTTGCATTTGGTCTCAAACGTACATACATACGTACATACATACTTCTGAGCCGTTTTACCAAGTAAGGTACGTAGAATGTGGAGTAGTCTCTCGGACGAGTTCGGCTCTCGGAAATAACTTCGGCGGCACGTTATTTTGCAAAAAGAAGAAAGAAAACAATGGATTTCCTTGTAAAGTGCTTACTTCTTTTCCCAGTGGGTAGGTAATGAGTGTAAAGAACCTGAAGGAACATAATCATTTTGTTTTCACTAAAAATTTCCATATCGTCGTTTAAAGTGCAATACCACTCAAATGTTATTTGCTCACCGGAAACTCCTGGCATCAAGCCTTATCCATTCATGCCAAAATATCGATACTTAGTTACGAAAGGTAGAGATAATCAGGGAGAAGAGACAGAAGTCTTGGCACAGAGATTTTTTTGCAATGTATGCGAAGTTTTTTTCTAATTTCTTTCCGCTAATTTTTTACGAAAAATATAGTTCAAACTACAACAAAAAACATAAAAATAAAATCTCTAAAGTTTTTGTAAAAATCAGGAAAATTCCATAAATTTGCATACTAATTTTCAACAACTAATCAGAGTTTTTAGAAAAATTCTAGGCACGCAGTTTTATAGCCCATACAATTTTAATATAACAAAGTGCAAGTTTGAAGTTGCTAAAAAATCGCATTGATTTTTGGCAATTTTTTTTTCATGCAGTTTTTTCCATACAAAGTATGTTCGACATTTTTGTTTTTTTTTTGTGTGGAAAAAAACAATAACACCGTTATTTTTATATTTTTTGTTGTAGCATGAACTACATTTTTATAAAAACTCAGCGAAAAGAAGTTAGAATGAAAAACTTTGCATATATTGCAAAAAAATTTCTGTAATTTTGTTCGGCACTTTAGGTATATGCAGGGCCGGTTTAACATCTGTAGGGCCTCAAGGGCCGGAAGAAATATGGCGGCCCAGTAGCGAATATATACGTATACATAAACGGCTGTGATAGTAATGAAGTACAATATTGGAAAAAGGCAACATTTTGGTGCCGTATTGGTCGATATCCCATTAAAAAGGACACTTGGGCCTTACTACTTCCGTATTTTACATGCAGACTTACTGGACTGGTCAGACTGGGAAATAAACTTTTTGTTGAACCAAAGACAAATACACATTCCAACGAGCGTTACCACTTTTTTGTTGGTTTTTTAAAGGTATACATATTAGGAGATGTTGAGATGTCAATGTTTTAGTTTCGCTCCTAATGTTAAAATTTCCGTAATTTCACCAAACAAAAGTTTTTATTCACTCACCAAACTCATTTTCCAATTCCGTTATATACGCTGAGTTATCCATTTTATTGGTTATGTTTTGAAGTTTTTATGAGAAAAATATATTTTTATTAATTATTAAAAACTTGTATAAATATTTTTTAATATCTGTCGAAATTCAGTGCACAAAAACCGACAATCGAGTGAATCATAAACTCTATATCACAACTCAGCACATTTTAGATAACGATTAAGTGAGCTAAAACGAAATTACTGTCATTGCATTCACCAGCGAGATGCCCCAGATATTTGAACCGACTGAGTAGGGCACGTCAACTGAAAGCTTAAAACCCCTGACATTGCATTTTAATGCCCAAATTGAAGAGCAAGAGCAATGAAGTGACGACACTACTTTCACATTTAAACTTCTGTGTAAGCATTTAATAAGTACACACTTATGTAAGTATGTATACTAACATATAAAAATTTATCTTCCGAATTAACGGCAAGCATAAGTACATATGAAATAGAGTTGTACACAAGGCGACTTACAGCTGGTTTCAAGTAATTCGAAAATTTAACATAGCAATGTTGCATTTTGTTTTCAACCAAGAAGACTTGCTTAGTCTTAAAAGCCGTCGAAAAACTGCTAGACCTCCTCATTTCGGATTAACTGAGACACGTAACTCCATTACATAACACTCAGTTTGCGCATGTCAAAGGAAAATATATAGATTCTGAGGTGGTTTTATGTGCCTTCCTGGACATCGAGCGGGATTTTAAAAAATGCCGTCTACGAATCTGTCTCAAGGCACTGGTCCAACAAGGCATGGAACTGTCCACTGTCGGGTGAATCGATTCCATGCTCTGTGACCTTGATATCGCATCGTCCCTAGGCAACAACTCCGTGAACATCAGAGCCATAAGAGGATGCCCACAGGGAGGTGTTCTTTCTCCTCTACTCTGGTCTCTTCTATTACACGTTATGGATGCAGCTCTGCACGTGGTATCAAACTGACCACCTCTACATAAACCCGCATAGCACTCTTCTGGTACCTTTTACAAGAAGGTACACGCCGAACCTTGGCTCGGTTACCCTTTGGTTAAACAGTGCTTGAACACTCTGACGGAGTCAAATACCTCGGGGTTACCTTGGATTAAAGACAAAGTTGGAAATCCCATATAGATAAAACTCCTAGTAAAGCCACCCGTACCATGTGAGCCTGTCGCAAACTTTTCGATCGAACATGGGTCTTAACTACGTGTACGTAGTGTACCGTAGAAGGTCGTAGAAACATATAAAATTTGCTGTTGATAGTGGGAGAGAGAAGCAATGTCAACGTCACGGTCATGCGGTTGTGAGTTTTCGTTAACACGCAGACTCCATAAGATAGATTATGTCAGCTGACACGTTCTCAGTTTTTACGTCTGTGGGTACCTGCACTTTAACAGACAGGATATACCGAACTATAGTACGTCCGATTGTAACTTATGCCTCCGTAGTCTTGTGTCCAAAAACACTGCAAAAACTGCCGTTTCAAGTCTGAACAAAATAAAAAGGATGGCACTAAGCGGTGACTGGAGCATTTTTCTCCAAGCAGCAGCTTCGATGAATTTGCCGACCAAGATGTCTGGTCAAAGGGTTTATCTCAACTAGATCCCAGATATGTACACTGGTACACAGACGGATCAAAGATGGAGGACAGAGTAGGAGCGGCGGTGTTTGGACCTAGCACCAAACTTTCTCAGGCGCTATCCAACTCTTGGCTGTAAGTTGGTCCTCCACGAGGCTCTTAATCCAAGCGCGGTTAAACTCAGAACTCAGTAAGTACTGGAGAGAGGTAGGAGGCCTTAGACGGGCCTGTTTGCTAGGAAAGATATAAATCTCAATAAAGGAGACTAATAACATCTTGAGCCGTCAGGATTGGGAACCATTAAAGGGATACAAAAGAACTTCTAGGTCCCGGTTTCCCTAGTTTCTGTTGCACCCAAAAAAATTTACATTACATTTACCTTACAATGTGTCAAATGATAATTCTTTATTTACTGAACACACGTTTTGTGGGTATTTTCAGAAGAATAGAAAACCCATATGGTATACACCATATTAGATTAGATTAGATTCTGTTTAGAGGAGAGAGCAGGTCACCTAGTTACCGCGACTTTGCGACACACCTTAATGGACTCCAATCGGGACCAAAATTTCTATGTGATATCTGTAACAGTGGTGTTACCGATTGAAGGGGTGAGACTGAAAAAAATCGTTCATTTGATTTTTTAAGGACCACCCTAATGTATCTATCTGTGACCGTCAATTAAAGTAGGTTAAGTGGCTTAAGAAGGTTTGACTTTGAACAAAAAAATATGAAGTTTCCCTAGAAAAATTTTAGGTTGTCATGAGGTTTCTATTAAGATGGCATTTTGCATTACACCTACGGCTAGTCAATTTATTGTGAATTTGACATTGACAAACCGTGATAATTTTTTTTTTTTAATCTTGCGTTTATTAATATTTTGAAAATGTGGTTCTTTGGCGAATACCGCATAACCATCTATTATATATAACTACATTACAATTTAATTATTTATTTATATGTATGTATATTATTAGTATTTTCTACAAGTCTTTCGAATAATGGTTGATGTTTCAAATATGAATCATCTCAGTGAGGTAAATTGTAGCCCAATATCGTCTTTGTTGGCTCGCAGTGACACATTTAAAAATCTTTAGTAAATAATAATTATTTATTTTAATCTCGAATACTTGCTCAATTCGTTACAACATTTGTCACTTCTTCTCACGCTTCTTCTCTGGCAATACAGTTGCTAGGGCAATTAGCGTTGCGATAATACCGACCATTGCCCAAAATACTATGTCGCAATATTTAAATAAAAACAAGCCAATAAGATTTCCGCCTGCGACAGAACCTAAGCGACCAATCATCATGGCAAAGCACATGCCCATCGCATTGATCTCCGTCGGATAGAATTCGATTGAGAGCGTTCCAATAATACCACCGCAATTACCAAGGCTCATTAACAAAGTCAAGGCAATAACGACGGCTGCAAACTCGGAAAGCCAATGTGTAATGACAGCACAGACGCAGCAAATGACGAGCCATATTACTAGAAAAGATAATTAGAATTTTATAAATGTGTTTTAGTATTTCAAATCGATCACTTTCAACTTTCTTGCCAAAAACTTACTTAATAAATTAACTTTGCCAACTATGTCGATGGTGTAAGCGAAAATGACGAAAATTAACATAAAAACGCCACCAATCATCATCAGGACTTGAAACATAAAACTATCGATTGAACCACTACAATCATTTGCATTCGCCTCTGTTATTGTGAGTTCCATGCCGCCTATTATCTCACATACCTTAAGGCCTTGGCCGTTTTTAGCAATGAGTTCATTGAGTATTGTCGGAAACCTGAAATACAGAAGAAAGAGAGAGGGAGACAGATTAATATCGAGCCGAAAAAAACTGATCATAAGATTTAGAATATCTTGGATGAATCTTGTAGAAAGTTTTGGTTAAAAAAATGCCAAAAAGAGATAATTTTCCATTAAAGACAAAAAGGTGGCAATTTATCCCACCAAGTCAGTTGATAGAAGAAAATGCTGCCACTATAATGCACACTCCTGGTGATGCAGACCGGTAATTCCTCGATCAGCATAAATTCGATATCGGATATTTCGTCATCTAGGCTGAATTTTTCCACAGTGGGGTCACAGATTATTTGGTGGCACATCCTTAAACACTTAAACCGAGTATGTGAGAGTGTGCCCACCTAAAGCTCACTTTGTTTCTGCCATGACCCAAGACTCCACACAGGGAGGTTGCCGCAAGACGCGGACGCAAGAGTGGGAATTGAGAATAAATAGTAGAGGAGTTGTAATTCCATTCCCAGAAGCTCCACTACATTCCATCTGTATTAGACTAAAGAAATCCTCATTAGCTCAGCCAGGGATGGGGTAGAATTTGAAAATTCAGAGTTTCCTTGCTAAAAGTTTTTTTGGTTGTTCAAAGGACAAAGGACGATTAGGTGGTATCCTTTCAGCAATCTCTGCTCATATGCGCTTATTTCGCTTTCTTGTAAGCCTAGCTGGCAGTCATATTGCTTTCCATCAGAGATGCCAACTCTACCAAGGCTAATTTGACTAAATTTCTGAAAAAAAATCCCCAATTTTGAATCGGAAACCAAACCCCAGTTGGTATCCCTGTTTTTAATTCTCACGTATGTACGTACATTAGGGTGGTTCAAAATAAGTAAAGTCGGGGTTTTAATGCTCCCACACCCTAGGATTGTTCTATATCGAAAAAATATACCACAATTTTTTGTTTTGAAATCAAAAAATATTTAGAGGTCGCTCAAAGCGCTCAAAGTTTTCCATGTATTTTATATGGGGAAAACAAGTCTTCGTAGAAATGCTATGCAATTCCTGACAATCAATAGTTTTCGATCGGAAAACGCTGGTTCTCTTCAGGAGACTTCCAATAACACTACCCAATATGCTCATTTAACCCTTTTTTCACCGCACGGGAATGGCTCACCCAAAATATTAGGCACTCACTGTCCCATGGCATTGCCTAGCTTATAAACTGGTAAATATAAAGTACCGAATTTTCATTAAACTGTCACTTACCACATGAACAGTCCCTGAGAGATGCCATATACCACAAACAAGGACAAAGATAAATTAAGCGTTTGTAAGCAACGTTGCCTATAAAACAGTGGCATTGTTTGACTCCAAATCATTTTAAATGCATCACCGACACCATGAATGTTTGCCAAATCGGCGCCACCAGTCTCTAAAATAATACTTTTCACGGGAAAATTCTCTGGCTTGTCGCCGGTATTCTTTGAGTAAATGCTACGCAAAGTGTTTAAAGCTGCATCATGATTTCCATGCACCAACATATATTTCGGCGTCTCGGGCAGTGTACATAACCCAGCGAGTCCGGAGAAAGACAGTGTTGTATTAATGAGGAAGAAAAGTCGCCATGAGGTGAACCGCATGCCAAAAATTACACTATCGAATTGTAGGGGAAGAATGACCAAACCGAGGGCTGAAAAATGTAACAAAATTTTAGCCAAAAATGTTCACTTTTGCGAGCTCCACAACTCACCTGGCAAAAATACCAACGCCAACGGTAGAAAAATCGCCATCAACGTCACGTAGCGTACGCGCGTTTTATTGCTGTGAAATTCACCGACCAAACTAAAAACACACGCCTGGCAGCCCGATATGAAGAAACCATTGAGGAAACGAAATACGATTAGCATCCATGTATTGACGGAGAAGGCCGATATAATTGTTGCCGTGGCTGCCAATGTCAGTGAATATCGCAACGTTCGCACGCGACCCGCTGTATCCGCCAGAAAGCCCACCATGTGTGAGCTGAGCCCAATTCCGAAGAATCCCGCTGATGCGAGTAGACCCTGCTCGGCTTGCGACGCCTCCAGTTCACATTTTACTAATGGCATTATCATGCCAATACCCATCGTCTCAGCCATGACAGCCATAAAGCATAAACCGGATATCAACATGAGCAGGTAGTGAAATCGTCCGACACGCGTCAAACCTACGGCTTCATCGAAACTGTGTGTGTAAACCGGGGATTCGGCATTTTTTTGTAAACCTGAAATGAAGAACGAAAGGGTATTTGTCAATCAAATGTCATAAAATATGATAGAAATGTTATTTCGCATCGCATTTATGCTAAGTCATTGCAAAAAGTGAAATTACACTTTTGATTTAAATGACTTAGCTAAGCGCTTGCAAAGAAACAGAAATCATTTTCAGTTTCGTATACACAATGGACAACGGCGCATCGGCAGCTAACGAGGAGTCGGAAACAACAGTGGAAACTGCAAGTTTCTTCGACACCAAACTCTTTCGTTGGTTCTCGCTTTTCCTTTATCTCGGTGGTATAAGTGGCCTTGGTATGATTTTATCGATTTATTATTTGTTGTTTTTTGACTCAACCATGCCCGATATACATATAAAGTTCCCGATATCTATTGATGGCAAACCTGTGCAAAAAGTTCAAGCGTTTCCATAACGTGGTAAGCTAGTATATGAAAATGAAAACTATTGTCCGTATAACTTACGTTTAAACAGTACTGATCGAACAAAATATACGATATTTATTTTAAAGTTAAGGTTAGGTTAGGTAAGAGAGCCGCCGTATTGTTGTGTCCTTAATGGAAGAGGGAAAAAAGACACAGGAAGGCCGGAAGTGGGAGAGGGAGGGTAGAAATGGAGGAAGGCAAGGAACCGCACGATGACACCCAAGGCTTCTTATAAGAAAAATGCTGCATGCCCACAACGAAACTTCGCAAAACGACTGATATCAATTACCGAAAGCTCATCGGGAGTGTGGAAAAAGTGCGCTCCAAGGTTTGTGAAGCTTAATCTCTCAAAAGCAGAGCACCAGAGCAGCTGGTGTTGACATGATTGCAGCTCATCATGCTCCATGCAGATAGTGTAGTAACGGCCATTGATGAAAGCCAACCTTATCGCATGCTTATCTATAACGCAATAACCGGTTAGAGCTCTCACCAATAGCGAGAGGTGTAACTTGTTTAGTCTCCAGAGCTTTCTTTATCCACTCTGGTCTACTTTCGGCGTGACATTCTGGTATTATAACTCTTCTGACAGGCGGAGAAATCGTTTAAATTTTCATTTGCTTTCAAAGAAAGCTTTTGCAAGGGAGTTTAGGGAGTGTCAAAACTCGAATGCCACTAGTGAACAAACCTTTAATTATTGAATCATGGGGTTGTATGTCCTCTCCCTATGATTAAAAAATCATCACATTCCAATTTGTATTTTCAGAGAAAAAAAATAAATTCAGTAACATTGCAAAAAATTCAAATGCTCATAAAAAGTCTAAATTTGAACATTTTTCTAAGAAATTTGCGGAGCGTATCTTAGGTGGGTAGAACTTCATTTGAGCGAAAAATCAACTAGAAATTCGAACGTCGGTAAATTTGTGACCCACTTGAGTTGGCCTTACCCAATTACTTTTTCTTACCATTTACTTCATTTTATTTATTTTATTTTTTTTAAGTTCTGACCATTTAGTTAAATTTGTTTGAATAAAGCGCAAAAGTAATTGCATAGCTTTTATTCATACGGCCCATTGCCTCTTCTTGGATCGCTGCTACGGCTGAATGCGTGATTGAAGTTGGGTACACCTGAAAGTCCCCCAAATCTACATTAGCTCTACTCAGGATGCTCGCTGTCTTGTCTTGATGTAGAGCAATTTATAATTTTAGCACTAACGTGAATGAATATTAGTATTTTTATAATAATGACAGGGCCACTTAAAGTTTTTCTTACAATACTAATATTCATCATGAAATTTATATGTCTGCTAATTTGTAATGAAATAAATCAGGCCACATAAAAATTATCGAGCTATTAGCTAAGCGTAATCCAAGACATTCACATTATTTGCAGCACATTTCAAAGAAACCATCTAAGTATGAATCAGCAAATATATTTTCTTATGAATGCACGTACACACATACTTACATGACTTGCTTTGCTATTCAATTCACCACACTCGACGGTAATAAAGCGATACTTAAGTGACAGCTGCTTAGCAGCAGGGTCCAAACTTAATTCATATGTGCATTTGTATGTATATGCATGCACTTGTAGCTAAATACCCCCGCAAACTATGTATGTATTTATGTAACGTATAAATGTATATAAGTGTATGTACTTAAATATATAAGCGTGTGAGCTTGAGTGAGTACACAAAATTCAGGGAATATGCCCCATTGGAAACATTCCATTTGCAGAGGTGTTCTCCGTCCAGCTCTTTGATGACAATGAATGTCTCCAATATGGCAATATTGGATGGAATCCAAAATAATACACTGGCGCGGTATAGTGGTATGGTGCGAGACCCTCAGAAAAGAGTCCATCTAGGTATTCACAGATGGCACAAAGCTCGAGGGGAGGGTTGGTGGAGGTGTATACTGCCATCACCTGGGAAAGCTTCCTTAGCCCTCGTTTCCCGGACCACTGTAGCGCTTTTCAGCCGGAACTGATGGCAATCGACACAGCCAAAAAACTTTTCTCCGAGAGGCCTACTAAAGTAGCGAACGACAGATGGCATGACAAAATCACCACGTAAAACTTTCAGGCAATTGTGGCCGGTACTCAACGCTAAACGAACTGGTCTACTGCTGAATAGCGTGGGCCGAAAATCTGCTTTTTTTCGAATTTTGATTGGTAATAGCAAAAAAATGGTTCATTATGCTCTAAAAATAATCCGTGTTAAAGATGACACTTTTTGGTAAATATCTTAGGCTCGCCCAAGTCCATCAAAAGTCAATGTGCTCAAAAAACAAAAATTAATAAATACATAAATGAATACACTATTTTTACTAAAATTGCAATTATCTTCGAAAGTGTTCTTGTTCTTCTCATTTGGCGCTGTAACCGCTTAAGCGATTTTGGCCGAGTTCAATGAAGCACGCCAGTCGTTTCTCTTCTGTGCCAACTGACGCCAATTGTAATTGCTAAGTGAACCCAAGTCCTTCTCCACTTGGTCTTTCCAACGCCGTGGGTCCCTCCCGCTTCCTCTGCTACCACCAGCGGGTTCCGAGTTGAATACTTTCAGAGCTGGAGCGTCGGGGTCCATTCGAACGACATGGCCAAGCCAGCGGAGCCGCTGTATTTTAATTTGTTGCATTGTCTGCGGTACTCGCCATCGCCAAAGCGCAAAAGCCCATATATTTTCCGCAAAATCTTTCTCTCGAATACTCCAAGAGCCGTCTCATCCATTGTTGTCACTGTCCATGCTTCTGCGCCATATACCAGCACGGGCATGATGAGTGACTTATAGAGCGTGGTTTTCGTACGTCGAGAGAGGACTTTACTCCTGAATTGCCTAGTCAGTCCAAAGTAGCACTGCGTTGGATTTCAATGCTGACATTATTATCGGTGTTAATGCTGGTTCCCAAGTAAACGAAATTCTCTACTTTCTCGAAATTGTAACCGTCAACAGTGACGTGGGTGCCAAGGCGCGAATATGCTGACTGTTTGTTTGATGACAGGAGATACTTCGTCTTGTCCTCGTTTACCACCAGACCCATTCGCTTTGCTTCCCTATCCAACTTGGAAAAGGCAGAACAGACTTCGCGGTTTTTGTAACCGATGATGTCGATGTCGTCGGCATAAGCCAGCAATTGCACGCTCTTGTAGTAAATTGTTCCTGAGCGGTTGAGTTCTGCAGCTCTTATCATCTTCTCCAACAACAGATTAAAGAAGTCACATGAAAGGGAGTCACCCTGTCTGAAACCCCGTTTTGTGGCGAACGGCTCGGAGAGGTCTTTCCCAATTCTGACCGAGCTGGTGGTATTGCTCAACTTAATTTTACACAGCCGTATCAGTTTGGCATGGATGCCAAATTCAGACATAGCGGCGTATAGGCAACTCCTTTTAGTGCTGTCGAAAGCGGCTTTAAAGTCGACAAATATGTGGTGAGTGTCGATCCTTTTCTCGCGGGTCTTCTCCAAGATTTGGCGTATTGTGAATACCTGGTCTATGGTGGATTTTCCAGGTCTGAAGCCACACTGATAAGGCCCAATCAGTTCGTTGACGGTGGGCTTCAACCTTTCACACAATACGCTCGATAAGGCCTTATAACCTAACACACGGTAGTTGGCGCGAATATGGATTTTCGAAAATTATATACTTACCATTAATACAATAAGTTGTTTTTTTCCTAAATAAAATACATGGAAAACTTTGAGCGCTTTTGGCGCTATGACTGACCTCTAAATATTTTTTGATTTCAAATTAAAAAATAAGGGTATATTTTTTCGCTATGGACCAATCCCAGGGGGTGAGAGCATAAAAATATCGATTTACTTTTTCCCATCACCCCATCCCATCGATTTTCTAAACACACAGATTTCAATTCACAGAGCGACGCCCATCAAGGTATTCTTCAGAATGCATCTGCAGCTTTTGAAACAATGAGCTCAATGTTTTCTGCAGGGTTCTGTATCTATGTATATACAGACATACACTCATAGGCACTCACATACATATTTATGCACGCCTGCAACTAATTAGCGCCTCGAACAAGCCAACTGTGCAAAAGAATAAGAAAAGAAATATGCGAAACCATTATAGCATAACAAACTCTACAAGCCTGGGCGCATAAGTTTGTATGTATGTATTATGTATATACATAGTATATATGTAAGTAAGCGATTTTGTATGGTACATCAGCAATGTGTACAAAGTCTTTCCTATGCGCATACACCAAAACCACAAACTTAAAGAGACCGAAATCGCGCCAATACATCGCAAAGCAACAAGAATAAACAATTAGCCAAACCAAACCGCAAAAGTCTACTTTTGACTATACCCGCGCGCCCCTTCTGTTCCTCAAGAACAAGCACTAGCTCAGCAAGAGTGTCACCAGACATTCAGGCGAAAGAAAGCCTCTTTCTTCACAATTTCTTGCGAGTCATTTCAGTTACACTTGAGACATAGTATTGCCGCCGACGTGAGTGTGATAAGACGGCTAAAAAAAAAAAAACACACAAAAAAACAAACAGAACATACGAAATAACGAAAATTTCAAAGAAAGTGTTCTTTTTTCGTCGAATTTCGCGGGGTTTTCTTTGCTCTAAATCAAGTTAATTAATTACAAGTAGGTATGTCCCTACTAGCACCCGCTGGCGCAGCTGCGGCCGCTGCAGCTAACAAAGATGAGGAAATTACTGTACCAAAATCGGACAGTTTCTTTGAATCGAAAACATTCCGCTTGATCTCCTTGATGCTTTACATGGGTGGCATTAGTGGTTTGGGCATGACATTAGCCATGTATTACTTATTTATTTGGGACTCACGCATGCCACCATTACCGGAGTATAAGCACGCGCATCATGTGGGCTAGGAGAAACGGAGAGGGAAAGCGGGAGATAGCTAGAAGGAAAAGCGAATTGTTTGCGGAGGGGGAGCTTTAATTGTTAAGTTATATCCAGAGAAGAGATGGGTGAGTATAGCGATGATACCACTGTGATAATATACATACATATATTTTATAAATATGGGGCGAAATTCGCCAAGTGTACTAGAAAAAGTTGTATGTCAGCGATTTTATTCAAACTCTACTTCATTAAAAGTAGCAACCATTGTGTAGGAGGATTATTTTGTCGCGGTTTTTTATCGAGTTATACATCCAAAATTTGCAGACCCTTTTTTCGCAAAAAATGTCCAATATAAAATTTGTATCGCATTTTTTACAGTGTGTAAAATTTTTATATTTTCTTAAATGGTTTATTTCTATATTTTTTTCCTAAACTCCCAAACGATGTATAGTTTTTAGTGAGCATGGTTACAAGTTTTTCTAAATAGAAAACATTAGGGTCCGCCATGCTTTTTTGTCGACAATAACACAAGTTTACAGATAGACAAAAATTGCAATTTAAAATTTTCCGCTGAATTCGAATATGAAACCTCAATATAAGAAAGTACAGCAATTTTTGGAATATAGCCGAATTGCGGTTTTTTTAATATCTAATTGTGATTTTCGTTGGACAGAGTGAATATGGCCAATCTTAAATTTCTGCTTATACAAGGAAAAGCCACTAAATTTGCGATCTTCTCTGTCTACAACAAACTCCTCCCAGATTAGTAATTTACGATTTACGACAAGTTTGAATAATTTTTAATAAATTTTCAAAAAAAAAATCGTTTCGGTACAAGCACAAACATCAGAAAAAAATTTTCTTCCTGGTCTTTAAGGTATGATCTTTTATTAATACAATAAGACCCTGCTTATCATAAATTAAATAATTAATCTAGAATTTATGAATACTTAAGTAAAAATACATACAAAAAGTTTCCACAGAGTTTGAACTACATATTAATGAAATCATATATTTTAATTCCAGTATTTATTTTGCGCACCAGATGTGCTAGCAAGAATATCGCCTATTCAATAAGTATTCAAATATTAAAATATTTTATTATACATATTTTAGCTAGAATTTCACTTTGCACACTCTGGTTGCGTATGTTCTGTTATAGAATTTTGATAAGAAAATTATATGTATTTAATTCGAGTTTTAAATTGGTTCACTCCCAATTTTTGCCCCGATGTCGATATTACCGGCAATAAATTTGTTTGCGAGGGCGCCACGTTTTCTTATGTAAATGAATCTGAATATTAAAGTAGTGATTTTATTTTTAGTTTTTATTTGCTTGTTTGTACCGTTATTTGTTGATGGTTTGCTTTTGTTTGGCTGCACAAGAAGAAAACGCAAAAAAAAACGCCTTAAGAGCCGTTTTTCGCAGTGGCTTTGAAAATTTCTTTATCCTTTAAACACAAACGTTGTTTGCAAAAAATGTGTTTAAGGGGCTGATAAATTTTAAAAGCTGCTTGAAAAAACGGGCCTATTTTTAACAAACTTGCGTTCCTAGTTGTGTATCAGTGCAGAATACCTACATTTCTAAAATTCAAAAAAAAACTATGGCGAAGCCATTAAGGTGAGCAGAGCGGTGTACTTTATTTTTGGAGGAAACGAGTACTACAAGAGTTGTTAAAGGCCAAAGGTCAATTTAGGAATTTTTGCAAGGTTTTGTTTAACTTGCTTTCTATGTGGTATTTTTGTAAGGGTCAAATCTTGCAATAGAATTTTTAACTAACTTCCCGAACTAAATTCAATGAAAGATCCGCAGGGTGGCGCAGGCGTTGAGATATTTCGAAAATCAGGATTTGGTTCATATTTAGAAAGCCTGTCTTAAAATTTTTTTTCCTATTAACTTATTTTAAATCAAAATATTTCAAAACCTAATGTATGTACATTCGATTTTTTGAAAAAATTTACACGAAATACACCAATAATATATTTTTATATTTCCCGTCGAATGACATTTATAAAAACTACAGACTGGTTTTCGGGATATTTTTTATTTTAAAAATCTTGTCCTTTGATAACTCTTGCAGATATTGTGTTCCCCAAAAAAAAAAAAAAAATGTCCTCGCCTTTTTACTATTTTATTAACGCCTCTTATTGTCCCCAAACCCTCATTGATGGAAAAAATAGCTTTGACTTTTCCTAGCACCAGTATAGCTCTTATATAAGTCGCTTCTAAATCTTATTCAAAATATTTAAACATGACTTACACTATTTTTATATACATACCAATTTTTCGCAGTGCTATTTTCGAATATAGGCTTTTATTTTTAAAAATCACTTAATTAAAAGCAAAAATACCAGCATCAAATGTGTATATTTGAAATCAAGGAAAACCAAGTCGTGGTAATTTTTAATCGATACTTCTAACTTCGATAAAAACCGTTCTCTGATGATGGCATTAAATCGTGATATCAGCTAAACAAAAACTGTTAAGCAGAGATCACACGATTTGTACATTTCAACAGTTACAGAGTGCTGTTGGAAAAGTTGGAAAGTTTCTGTTGCGCTGAACTCATTCTCGATAAAAATTTCTACACAACACCACTCTGTGCTCTCCAAAATCTACAAATCGTGTGATCCCTGTTTTAGATAGAAATTCTTACGTATACGCCCCGTTATCAATTTTCACGCTAAGTTAGATACTCATACGTCCTGGCTGTCATCAATGAATCGTCATTTTTTTATTGTAAGCATGTGTTCATGAATGAATTTATATGTGTACATACATATGACTAAATTGTTGAGACCATTGCCACTGAATACCACTTTTTGCTTGCCCGGGATTGGTCTTTTCGCAAAGTGAGCAACATATACTTAGATAAATGTTCTGTTTGTAAATCACGTCCACTACTTAAAGAAGTTTCATTTTACATACAAGGTGGCGCAAATTATTCATCCAATTTGGTTTCTGAATAACTTTTTTACTAAATAAAAAAAAGATTTATTTGAACCTTTAAAATTTTTTCGGTTAAGTAGAGAAGACAATATCCGTCAAATGGCTGCTGCCAGTGTTGCTACAAATTTGTGTCCATTTTATCGCATTTTCCGTGACATTCCGAAATATTTCCGTGCTGTGTATGCAGTTGCAGCGTTTTGTTGAAACCAAGTATTTTCCAAGCCCCGCTCATCCAATTCCCGCAGTAACAAGTCATTTATCATGGTCCTGTAGCGTTTGCCAGAATAGTGACCATATTTCCGATGACGTGCTCAAAAAAAGGTGGTTCAAATACTCCTGCCTGCCCAGTGAATGCGCGCACCACACAGTGCCCTTGCGTGGGTACATCACACGCGGATTTTCACATGAAGATGTTGCTTATTGACGTAACCGCTTATGTAGAAATGCTCCTCGTCGCCCATGATGATTTTCGATACAAAATCGTCATCTTCTTTGTTGAGGTCGAGGACGGTCAGCAGGTATTAACTGTTGCACTGTTTGCACTTTTTACGGGATCATTTGTAAGTCTTTCACTAAAATTCGCTGTAAGGTCTGTCTGGTGATACCCAATTGCGTAGGCTTTAGCTGCAAAGTGAAGCCACTATGAATGAATATCTAAGTATGCCTTTCGCGCTGCTAACATCTTAATTACTATAACCCATCCTTAGATCTCTGCATGAAAACATATACAGCCGTTGGAAAAACCCGAGTCTGGAAAACCGGTAACTTCATCAGTGACACCTAAACAGTCCGCATCTCCAAGGTGGTAAGCAAAAAGCCCTCCATGGTCATCTTTCGAGCCTGCTATTTCCGCTAGATCTTCGAAAGCAGTAGGTCTGCACTTCTTAATCAAAAACAGATTTGTAATGTCCAAAACATATTTTCGACGATAATCAAAAGCACAAATTAGAGAACATCCGTTGAATACAGAACCATCATACCTCTAATTCAAAAGTATTAGTCTGGAAGAGACAACGATTGTTGGAATCTACCGTGATTGGAGCCATTAGGCATACGCCTTTGGCACATGCCTTTGGCACACTCTTCTCACAGCCTCTATGCTTAGTTTCTCTAAGAAATTGAAAGTGGGTTTTTTCTAAATGTATGAGAGTTGTACATAAGTATAAGTCAGCAGTGAGCCTAAGCTTGAGTCCCAACTAAACACAAAGCTTATTGAGCTGAACCATCTGGGCAACGAAGAGCTACCAGCAAAGGAGAAAAGCCAGACGGCATGGGCGAGGACCCTCTTTGACTTTTAATTTGTGTAGAATATAATCTGCACAACTCCAGGCAGCATCAGCTGATCTACTTAATGATCTTAGTGGCAACGTAGATGAGCTTATTTTCATCCGGCAACCCTTAAATATATAAAACAAGCTTCACTGACCCGCCTTAACGCCTACAGTGTTGTATCACCCTATCATCATTATTTTTTAATCAGAAATAATCATTCTTACTTTTCACTCACTTTTACTCTGGACGAGGAGACTGTTTGGATGAGCTTAGAATGGAAGTTCAAAACAATCTGGATGGTGTCCTGTGATTCGGCAAAGGATATTCGAAATCCTATTTGTCAGCATCATAATTTGCCATTCTAAATATTTTTTCCAATTCTGTAGCAGAGCAGAGCCCTTGGAGCTTTTGAATCCAAAGTATCGCACCCGTGGCTGTTAATTTAGGATTTCGAAGAGCCGACCCAGCTTTTCACAGTAACCAAAAATCTTAATACTCAGAATAAGAAAGCACTTTGTATCGCACTTGTTTTTTTGTTTTTTCCAGATATAATCTTATTGAAATTTTCTTAATGGCATTATGAGACCTGGCTCAACCACAATTAGTTGAGAAACTGCTGCCCTTACGCACCATGACAAGAGGAATAGGATTTAGGTAATGTTAATTGAGCGGCTGTGAGAGCGTTATTGTTGTTGCAACGTGGACGAAGAATCTATCATCAAGCAAAAAATATCAGATATCCCGCAATAGTCTTCGCCCCTTCTGTGTGATGAGAACATTTGATCAGTCGCGCTACCCAAAACACCCCCCTCCCCCCCTACTAGGAAAATGTTTGGTGTGGAAGGGTTAGTCGCCCTTTTTCTCCCGGTTGGGACATCCCTGGATAATGTTCCATAATATTCAGCGTCGTTTGAAAGGTTGTCTAGTTTCCAACCCTTCGCGATTGGCGATTTATGCCAGACTTTGAACCCCCGTTTTTTTTTGTATAGATCGCAATTGCTTAGCACCCTTTTTATACTGTTATTTACATTTTCCATTCAAATTTCGTCCCGCTGCCGCCCTATCCAACATCGATTGCCTGAATTTTACTGAATTTATACAAAAGAACTCATAGCACTAGCTGTCCAACTCTCTCTACATCGCCACTGCCGCTAACCATCACTCAATCCCTCATTTACTCACTCACTCATTTCAATTCGTCTGCGGATTAATTTACGCTATAAAAGCGAAATTCAGCGCCATCAAAACTGAAAACAAAAAGTTGACAAGGCAATACGAAATGTTTAATCCTATTTCTCGTTTCACTAAATCCCAGGCAGTCGCACTAACTAACTGACACTGACAATCGGCTCTGCACCAGCCCTATCGTTTGATGCTTGTGACTCTGGGTACACTTTTCACTATATCCAGTCATATGCAGCTGTTACTGCCACTGACTTTTTGACAGCTCTGCTATGCGCGTGTCGCCGCATTTCTCGTCTCTGTCAATTAATTAACTGTTACGCGAATGGCAATTAAAAACGATTTTGATTTGATTTTTGTCTCTGTTTCGAGACGCATTTAAATTCAGGCGTCAAGAGCAAACGCAACACAGTTAGCACTTTAAACGGCTGGTGTGCAACTAAGCAAAAATGTCGGAAAAAAATTTGGCAAAAATAGTGAATATCATTGAAACTAGTGCCAATACGAATAATGATAATAGTGGTGGTGGTGATAATGAAGATGAGGGCGCAATTATGGCGGCGATGGCGGCAGAGTTAGCCGCAGCAACAACGTCAGCAGCATCTGGTTCGCTTAGAAGAGGCGCTCGACCAACAACCGTCAGGATATCTACGGGACACTTGCCGTCCTATCGTTTGCATGAAGCCGACGAGATATTGGCACATAAACCGACTTTTTCGGAGCGTTTCATACGCTATCTCATGGTGTTGATCTATTTGTGTGGCCTGTGCAGTTTGGGCTTTGTCCTATCGGTTTATCACATTTTCTTTTGGGACTCACGCATGCCACCGGTGCACAAGAGCATGATTATGAAGAAGCCACCAGGATATGGTTAAGAAAGTGATATAAGAGTGGAACAAAGTGCGTAGTTTTAAATTAAAAACAAAAAATATATATATGACATTAGGGTAAACACTAAAAAAAAATATAAAAAATGTCGAAAATATTCGTAGATATGTTAAAAAATTTAAATCTAAACCATTATTTACTGAATGTAATTAATCCTACAATAAAGTGCAAAAATCAGCGAAAAATCATTGCATTCTAGGTAAGTCTCATGAATGGTAAAAAAAAAAAGTGTAAAAGAAAACTCTTAAGCTTCCTACGCAGTAAGACAATTAGTTAGCGCTCTGCACCTTTTAATACCACTCTAAATGCCTTCTGCCGCCCGTCACTTACTTCCGCAACCCTCACGGTGCCACATTCGAGCGCAACCACAGTTATTTGTCCATGTCAGCGATAAGCCTTTCACAACAAATCACAGCCATGTGACGTTATGTCACCTTCGCCAAATCACCAAATCACTAAGTCGAATTGTCAAGCCATTCTTTGCTTTTGTTGTTGTTTTTACTGCACTCCGTTAAAACGTGCCGCAGCAATGCAACGTTTCTGGCGCTTAGAGCTTTTAACTCGCTGCAGCCTTGTTTTTGTATTTTCCTTTAGTTTAGCGGTTTGATTTTTTGATTTGATTTGCCTCGCGCCTAACCTGCTAACACACTTTTTCCGGCGCGCGCGCGGTTCGCTTACTCACGAGGAAACCTTGTAAAGCCAAATCGATATGGATTAAATAGTCGCGCGCTGGTGTGTGCAAACATGTGAGTGTGAGTTCGAAGAGAGTGTGTGTTTGTGTGTTTAGTTTTTTTTTTTTTTTGCAATATTGGCAATCGATGGCGACGGCGTCACTCTTAGTTTAGTTAACTCATTTAAGAATTTTTAAAAGTTGTTGCAAAGAGATTTAATTTAATTAAATACTAGAAAAATTCTTTGAAGAACTTTGAGGTTCTCGATTTTCGTTTGTAGGCTTCTTTTGAAATATGTATTTATTTGATTGAATGATATATGTATGTATATCAGGGTGGTCCTTAAATGAATGAATTATTTAGTCTCTCACCCTCAATTGGTAACACTGATAAAACTAAAATATTTCACACATACAGGGTTGAAATTTCTAAATTCGTGCCCGTATTTAGTTTGTAAGTCAAATATTAGTGGCATTGTGCTACTATGATAGCACGGCCGAGTTATCATAGTCAACTTTTGTACGTTAGTCGAAAAAATTATAGCCGCACCAAATTTTGACAAGTTTTAAAATATTTTTTTTTTTGTTGTTATTTAATTTTGGTTAGTTTTTTATAGTTCATTCTTTAACAACATCCGTATAAATACAAGTGAATACCCAAATATTTTTCAATAGAAGATTGCTGTATTGTACCAATCTTTTGACTAGAAAAAAAAATTGTGCCAATTTTTTTATTTTGTACCAATAGCCCAATATACAAATCTGTACAAATGTAACAATCGAGAGACACTGCCTTAAAAATTTATGCAATTAAAAAAATAAATTCAACAAATTTTCGTACAAATTTTCCATTTTTTAATTAGATTCTGAGTATGCAGTTTTGTAGCCCATTGAATTCTAGTAGAATAGATTTTTTAGAATTTTTAAAAAAGCTCGAAATTTGTAGGAAAGTTTGTTGAATTTTTTTTTAAATATTTTTTGTTAAAGAATGAACTATAGTTTCATAAACAAAATAACCAAAATTAAATAACAACAAAAAAAAACGTTAAAACTTGGCAAAAAGTGGTTCGGCTATAGATAATTTTTTGACCACTGTATGTTTTTCTTTTGTATTTAATTGGACATGCACCTACATACATAAAGGAAGTACATAACAAAATAAAAAAAATAATGTTGTCTTTCTTTGCCTTTTTTCAAGTTTTTAGTACCTTAAAATCCTAACCCTGGTTATTAACATCTTATTATCTACCGATCCCCCTAATTTCGTTTTGATATTTTTTTTTGTTTTGTGACACGAGATTTTTATATTTTTAATATTTTTTATCTTTGTAAAATTAAAAAATTTACATCTTTAAAAAAATACTAAACTTCCAATTTCCGGCAGAAAATTTTAAATTTTTTTCCTGTCAGGTGAAATGAAAAATAAAAATTGGCCTGCTTTTTATTTATATATGTTCTTAATTTTAACAAAGTGTGTAAAAATTTAAGGTTTCCGCAAAAAAAAAAACTGCTATTAACTTGTAGTTTTTTGTTATTTTTTGTCACTATTTAATAAAAAGTATACACCACATCAAACCTAGGTTAATTTTTTATAGTACTAAAAAAACTTTTTCTGAAACTTAAGAAATATGGCTTAAAAATGTATATAATTTTTACAGTTCCGGCAGAAAAATCTAAAACTTCTTCGCAGATTATATTAAAGCACTTTAAAGTGTACCAAAATAGTAAATAAAGTAAATAAAAAATTAGCTACTCTTAAGATTTTTTTTTTATTTCACTCAACCAAACTTTAGCAATTTTGGGAGTTTCAATTAAAGCATCTCAAAAGTTTTTGATAGCACAAACAAATTTTCCATAAAACACATTTACCAAAAATTATTTCTGTTTTTTTGTACGTATAGTAGTAAATATGTAAAACTATTGAATTTCAAAGTAATACCGTGAAAATTGAGATTTTGACAATTTTTTTTTGTAACACAGTTGGTACACTGATGGCTCCAAGACTGGCCATTGCGTTGGTTGGTCGTACTAAACCCAGAAGGCTTCTTTTCACCAGCATCGGTAAAACTTACTCTGTGCTAAGGTGTTTACATATCATTGAACTATATCCTGAGGTAGTACATACATATATAGAAATCGGGGCAGCCAACAGGCATATCTACATACATGTTCCCCAGCAGTAGAGCGGATCTCTGGTGGAAGGAATTGTGGAATAGACAAGCCAAGTCTTCCAACTCAGCAGTATCACAAAGGCGAAACGAAGTTACAAAAAGAGGAGGGACAAAAAACCACTTCGCTTCCAAGGATCACCCGACCTAAAAGGAGATGACCTAAATAATGCACTTAGCCAAGGAACCGAACTTAAAGCTAAACAATCCAACTGTGGGGTTTTTAAGTGCCTCCGCAAAAATTTAGTTATCCAAATAAGCGAATAATGCATTTCCTGCATTAGCATTCCTTTCATCTTGAATACCGCAAATATTTGCAAACAAAATATATATTTGAACCATTTCTCAACTTCACGCTACATAATTGCTCTCAAGTAATTTTAGTGCATAATTTAATGCATTTATTAGCTCATCAATTCATTCACACCACAATATCGCCATCCTCACAAAGGTTGAGCGCACACAAACACCTCTACGACCACCCTTTGCACACCCGTCAAAGCAGCGTAGTTAGCTACACAGCTATAAATCAAAAAATTTGTTCCACATTCCCGAGCACAGCGAAGCTAAGGACACGCCCTAGCGATTGTCAAACGACAACCAAAAACAAAATCTGCATTGAATATACCATCGAAATCGAAAAATCGACAACCAAAGGCGAGTGCAACAAACTTATCTCTGACAGTTGAACATTTTATTGCTAGAAAAGGGATAAATAAGTGAGAAGCAATGAACATGACAAGAATAAGTGGTGAGCCTGTGTAAGAGGGGGTAAGGGGGTGCAAAACAAAATCGTGTGTTAACCCATTTACTTACTATTGAAACTTCAAATACAGGGAAAAGTCATTTCTCATTTAAACGGTGCAGCTCAATAAATCTTAAAGTGCAAGCCAGGCACGACACGTCGAGCGAACCAGCGAATAAGAGCAAATGTGAGAAGAATGCATATACATGCACACTTACCTCATGCACATAAAGGATACCTACATGGGTATGCGCATATGCCAGTAAGCGAAAGTTAGTTAAATTAAGTAGAAATGTATTCCTCGCTTGAGTCTATAGAAAATACATATACGAAAGGAGATGATGAGCCCTCGGCGCTTGAGCACTTCAAAACTGAAGAAATGGGGTTTAGATTTAATTATAAATTTAAATCAGTGGTTCTTAGACTAGTTCTTCTAAATTCATAAGTGAATCTATTGTATTACATTCTGTTCGAAATATGGTAATTAATTTGAATCTATCAAGTAAAGTAGATGCTTGGCTACATTTCAGGGCAAATGTTTTCGTAGCATTTTAACCCATTAGCTCTCGCCTGAAAGTGTCGTTTTGACCCTTACTTCAAGAAACCCCGCAAAAAGCAAATTTGGAAGGTCGTTAGAGGATTGATATATATTGTAGAAAATGATTGTTCGGAAAATTTTAATAGGGGCTCAGGCAAAAGCTTCATGCAACAAGCGTAAAAGTCTCTAAAAAATTAGTTCCAAAATCACCAAAAATCTTGGTTTTTTAATATTTTTTTTTTAATTGAGTTTGGCTGTTATTCCTTCTTGGCATAGATTTTATTTTTAATTTGATAGAGACTTTTACGTTGGTGGCATGAAGTTTTTGCCTGAGAAGACCCATAGTAAAATTTTCCGGAGAATAATTTTCTAGAGTATATTAATCTTCTAACGATTCTCTAAATATCCCTTTTGCGGGGTTTCTTGAAGTAATGGTGAAAATGTCCCTTTCAGGTGGGAGCTAATGTGTTAAAATGTACTCCGAAAATATTTCCCGTGAAATTTTACTATATACATCTTAAATTTAAATTTCGCTCAGAGATTTATTTTAACCATTTTTTCGACTTTTTTGAAAACTACTTAGGCCGAGATATGAAAACTTTAGTAGGCCATAAAATCGAGGGTATCACTACTGTATGGGTGTACTTTCAGAAAATGTCAACAAAGTCCGGGCTGGTTTCGGCTGTCGCAAAGTGTTATCAACCAACCACCACGCATATAAACTAATAATTTTTAAGCAAAAAACAAACCCGACTTCAATGCCAACTTTTGTTTACTGGGCATTTCCAAAACTTTTTAGTCGGTTGTGTGACAGTACATCTAAAATATTTAACACGCAGCTACAGAACGCTAACCTATTCAAATTT